ATTAATTCAAGCGACATTCGACGCAGCTCATCGTACTCTATTTATGCTACAAAAGTGACTTGTTTTGTTTGAAGCCTTTAGCTTACATAACGAATTTATGGTCGCGTAGTGCTATGATAAAAAGGACTCTGGATTTTTAGAGTTCTCTCTAAAGTTCTAATTTCTCGTGAAATACAACTTCCAGCTTAAGCACTTCTAGAGTCAATGTTGTAGAACGTGAAGCGAGCGTTTCAACGGTAACAAGGATTTTCCTTCAGCGAATATTTTTCGCGTAAAAATTCACAAAGAAAAATGTAACGCTGCCGCACATTTAGTCTTTCTTTCCATTTGGATGAGGATGAGGATGAGGATGTGGGTGTGTTTTGTGCAGCAACCGTGATGCATTTAGAGGTGTCAGCCGAAGGGTTGAACGGCGCCGGCGGGCAACAATTTTCAATTTTTAAAGATTTCCAGCGGCTCGTTATTTGAATGAGTAATGTCTTCAACGGCGGCTGCTACAAATTCTTAATTTTTTTTCCACATCGGCGGCGCCGGTTGATATTTGCAAGTCCTTATGTGACGGCGGCGGCTGAGTTAAAAATTCGCTGATGAAAATTAAAAGAGAAGTGTTCGATTCGATCGCATATATATTGATGTCAGCGGCGGTGGATGACGCTACCAAAAATTTTTATCTCTTGCAGCGGCGCAACGGCTAAACTTGTTTTTTCGCAGCGGAGGCTTCCCAAAAATTCTTAAAATTACCAGCAATTTGGTGGCGGCGGCGGCGGCGGCTGATATTATAAAAAACTCGGCTGCTGCGGTGACTCAGCCGCACGGCTGACACCTCTAGATGCATTTCTACGTTTCTTGAGGGTCTCATCGGATGGCTTCTTCTTTATAATTGGCTGTATGACATCAAGTAGTGTAAGAAAAATAATTTGTACATCGGCATGATCGTCCGTTTGATATACTGTAGATTTGTTACTATCATAACAATCAAAAGAAGCTTTGTAAAATTCTAATGATTTCACTAATGTAATAGGAAAGGATGATCTCAAATACTAAAATTTGACTTTTGTTCAAAAAGATGAATACATTCAGCTACTTTTTTTCTCGTTCTAACGAGAACGGCGTATAAATAAGTAAACATATAAATATGTCTAAGAATCCCCGTTTAGTACGAACTGTTTGAAGGCCACCGATTGATTATGGATCAATCGATTACTTCTTATGGTTCACTGTTGGTTTCTACGCTATGAAGTATGGTTTAAATGGCCGCGGCGGTTTTCGTTTGCTTCGCACGATTTGGACCAGTATGGAATTTGTTTTTCCTTTTTTGTTTAGTCGTCAAAAAATGATATATTACAAGTACTCAGCCATCTCATACAGACGATCTTTTTTGTTGTCATCTATTGGTAGCCATATGAACTGATACTTAACTCAGTTGGCTAACAAATCAGGTGGCTATCAAATCTAATGGTTATCACGTCATATGTGGTTAATTAATCAATTCACTAATAAACTAGTTAATTAGCATAACATTCTATATCTAGAATGGGCCATATTTGATTTGGTATTTTTCGATTAATAACTGATTTGGCGAAGTAGGTATCGGCGAAAACAGATTCGATAAAAATAGACTAATTCAAACTGATGGGTATTATTCGTTTTTCTAGAAAAAAGACTAAACCGTGATTTACGTAAACTCAGCTGTAAACGTTGTAAGAATAACTCTAATTGATTGACAGTTTTCGTTAACATTATTTCAAAGGAGTGAAGAAAACGTCCAGAGAAAAACATATTGGCATTTAAGATAAAAGAAAAAAAAGCAGTAAAAACTGAAAAACACTTATTGTGTAATAGTTCTTTCGCCATTCGATCAGACAGGAACTATGCAATTCAAAGTATGCTTGTTTTTCAGCTTCTTCCCATGTTTTCAAGGTTGGCTAAGTGATTACTGCTGATTCATTCTTTCGTAGAATAATATATAGCATGATTCATCTATTTTTACTAGTTTTCCTTCCATTATTATATGAGAAAGAAAAACATTATTATTTCAAACGATGTACTTTATGTAATCCACGAGTTTTCAGTATATGCTCTAAGTTAATATGCGTCGCAATGAGGATCGGTAGCAACTGAACTTGCGCCGTTCTGTTTCCGGAATACTCATTTACCCTTTTGTATTGCAAATTGAACTTCATATAAACAACTTGACTGAGTATACAAAAATCTTACATTTTTATACTGATTGTTTTCTATCTTATTCTCGAGTATTTATTGACTGGGGCATGTCTATCGCGATTCATCATCAAGAAAGTACTATTCAGTAGTGGTCTGATGAAGATCGAATCATCTAGAGACCAAACAAGCCTCAAAATCTGACCTGCTTGAGTTTTGAGAGTTCGAATAATAAATATAAACTGAAAAACAAATTTAAAAAACACACTGCCTAGCGGCTTTGAATCGTTTTTTCAGAATGTTTGGCGTGTGAACTTAGTGTGATAAGACAACGGGCGGCCCAGAAATAATGGTACACTTTTTATTTCAGGAATATCTCACTTAGATTTGCTTGCGAAGCGTTACAGTTATATAGTTAATAGGTACCTCGTCGAATTCTCTATAAGAGCTACCTCAAACGTGTTTATGTACAAAGCGAATCAAAAATATGAAAACAAGAATAGTCAACACGTTCAAAAGAACCAGCTGTCTAAGCCATTTTTTAATTTGTACTTAGAATCCTTTTTAGGAAATCTTGAAAAAAACAGAAGCAGAAATGAATACGTTTTAGTGCACTGTCAACTGCGCTCTTTCTCGCTATGTAGCTTAAAGTTCGTTGCGATCAAATCGAACATAAAAAATTCTGGATTTTCAAAATCCTATTCAAATTTGCTTATATCTTAAGTTTTTTGTTAGCTGAATAGAAGAAGAGAATTTTAGCTCAACTTTCGTTTCTGAATTTGATACAGTAGTCATTTCCCATGAAAATAAACAAAAATACGAACCAAAAAGATGCTATTTTCGCTTAGTTATGCCTTTTTTCCCACAAGCTCTGAAGTCGCAGGTTGAAATAGCCAATTTCTCGAAAATCTAAAACAACGATTTTTCAGCACAGAAAGTTGGTTCTTTTTGAACGTGTTGAATATTCTTGTTTTCATACTTTTGTTTCGCTTTGTACATAAACGCGTTTGAGGTAGCTCTTGCAGAGAATTCGACGAGGTACCTATTAACTCTATAACTGCAACGCTTCGCAAGCAAATCTAAGTGAGATACTCCCGAAATAAGACGTGTGCCATTCTTTCTGGAGCACCTGTTACATTTGTTTTGACCAGTACGTTGAAATTATGTTAATATAAATTCGATCAATATTTTCCCACTATTATTGGTGAAAATTCTTTTTAGTTCATCTAAAGATTCAATTTTCTTATGTTCAGTGGCTATTTCAAATGCCACTTCACTGAATTTTCTACAGGAGCTGCATCTGGTTGAGTTCAACATAACTAATATTTGATTCATTCAAAAAAGCGATTACTTTTTTTGTAACGTGACTAGGCGCACTGCCTACATGAAAAACCATTTTCTTTTTTTCATTGTTTGGAAATAAACGAAGTACAGTGTGTGATAAAAAATGCTTTCAAAATCTTTGTAATGTAGTAATCTGCATTCATTTTGGCATCATGTGAAACAGAACGAATAAATGTCGTGTCACGAGATGAAATGCTAGTGTATACTATAAGTAGAAAAGATGCATCTTGTTGTATCATCTCTATTTCATAGCGCGGATCGATTATTTTTCGATTAAGTCGATGCACACGTTGACGACGTTTTCCGGCATTTGGCGGTGTTAATTGATGAATTTTTACTTTTTACCGATGCATGTAGCTGACCAGTTTTATAATTGTTGAGATAGTTGATTGGCTAATACAACAAGATTTGACAATAGAACGCTAAATAGGAGGATCTTCAGGCCAATTGTTTGAATTAAGTTTGATATAATCAATGGTAGAGTCACTGATCACTTTCGAGAAAATTTAATTTTTTCATCGGAATTACGTTGACATTAATCTTTCATTTGACAGTGGGGTCAAGTTTTTGAGATTTACTAATTCCATCATTTTTCAAAATTTTAACTATTTGTGGTTGAGAGTATTTTCAGTTGCAAAAGAGCCAAAATACGTCCCTCCACAGCATCATGGAAAATCGTCATTCGAATGGAAAACAAATTCTTAATTAATGCATTCTGTTTCCTTTTTAAATATTAATATGCAATAAGAATAAAACACTATACTATCCTTGATAAGTGCAAAATAGCATATCTGCAACAAATAACAAACATACAACGTCGTAGAATTGATCATGCTATCATTCATTCTCTAAAATAATTACTATTACCTGTACTGTCAAGAATGGTTATATTTTAAATGATGAGTCATCAAAACTCTTCGATTCATATTTGAGTGAATGTAAATATTTATTGAAAAGTTTTGTTTTGACTGTTGAATGTTTCTTTCAAAGTTAATGCATTTGGACTTGATGGCGTGGTGTTCGAAGCTACTAAATTATATGAAGAGATGTTGAATGAGCTACGACATGATATTTCACATATTTGTGTTTTAAAGATGTGTTCTCATTGCGGTCTTCTTGATGAGGTGCAGATGATTTTCAATAAAATCTCAAGAAAAACAGAAAGAAACATCACTACTAGACAATTATTCTTTCACAAGAGAACTGTCCATAAGAAAAATGACTCAGGAAATCATGCAAGAGTAAATAGAGATTAAGACAGTATGATGCAATTACCGTTTTGCTTTCTGCTTGCCTATAAAGTGTTACGTGTCTGCAATGCATCACTATTATTTTGATAGAAAGCAAAACAAAAATAATGCTATCTCCATCTCCGTCTGAGATATCATTGCCATCGACTGATGATTGTGCAATATGCCTAATGACATTAGCACCGGGTACTGCACTTCTCACTTTGTCTTGTAATCATAAATTTCATCTTCAATGTCTTGTTTCAAATGCACAAGCACAAAATAAAGAGTGCCCTTTGTGTCGAACAACGATCGATGCATCTGTCCTTCAAATACTCGTAGGTTCTACTCAAACACCAACACCAACACCAACACAACAAACACAAGTAGCTCTCGTTCAAGTTAATCAAACTGCAGCTAATGTAACTATTTTTCTAGAAATTCAGCTTTACAAATATTTAGTAACTTTGAAATAATTTTCATATCATTATATATCCATAGGTCCTTCCATCGGTTGAAGATCCAATCGATGAAACTGTTGTTAGACATCTCTTCGAACAGTTTACTATTGCTCGTCAAGCTGCCATTGCTTCACTTGATGATACCGATAGCCTGCCTTTGATCAATACTGTGACAACATTGGAATATTTAGCTCAATCTGCTCACGAAGAATCAAATATATACGGACTTATTACTCTTCAAGCTCCTTCGATTTTACAACGAGAAACTAACTCAATAGCAGCAGCTCGTGTTCCCATTGATCTCGTATGTGTCGTCGATCAAAGTGGATCAATGTCCGGTGAAAAAATGGTCCTGTTGAAAAAAACATTGATATATATTGTCGAACAGTTGAATGAACTCGATCGATTGGCTATTGTCTCATTCAATTCAACTGCTTTCGATCGTTCACATGGACTCAAACGTATGAATCAGCAAAAGTAAGTCTGTCATTCTTGATGATTAGATTATACGAAATTACTTTGATTTAGTCAACAGATCTTGACTAATGCAATCAATAATGATATTGCTAGTCAAGGTGGTACCTACATTGGGAGTGGCCTACAGATTGGTATTGATCTTTTGAAGATTCGTCAAACAAAGAATCCTCTGAGTGCTTTACTCTTACTCACCGATGGCCAAGATAATCAAGAACATGACTACAGACAACTTATGGAGAATTTACCCGAAGGTGCCCAATGTCATACTTTCGGCTATGGGCCTGATCATACGGCCTCATTGTTGGCAGAATTGGCTCAACTAGGTCATGGAGGTACTTTTACTTATATTGTAAGTTTTCTTTGATTTTTTTTTATGCTCATATTATTTTTATACGCCATGCTGATTTCTGATTGGTTTCAACAGGATCAAGAGCAAGCAGTAGGTTCAGCTTTCGTCATGGTTTTGGCTGGCCTATTCACATGTGTTGCAGAAGAGATCTGTGTTAATATTGAATTCAATGAAAACTACAATGTTACTCACTTTCACTCTAAGTATACATATGAACCTGAGCAATTACCCTCAACAAAGATCTCAGTCAAGTTGCACAATTTAAACGCTGATGAAAAACGAAATCTTGTTTTTCAATTACATATACCCAAAGTTGATGATGAACAAAATGTTGAAATGGCCAGTCAATCATCAGCGTCACAAGACGAGTCATCAGACGTTAATTTGTTGTCAGAAAATCATTGTGTAGGTGAGTGTCAGTAAGAATCTTTTCTTTAGTATTCTTTAAACCATTATCAAATGAAACTGAATATATCAATGGTTGCCTTTTTTTTTTATAAAATAGGTCATGTTACCATTACTTACGTGGATCCCAATATTTCTCGTTCAATAACTACAAATCCTGTTTCTTTTCAATTAGTTCGAGTATCCTCCCCTCCAACGAATCTTCTTCAAATAAATCCCGTACTAGATCGCCAACGAAATCGAATTGAAACGACTCAAGCACTTGAACAGGCAATGGCCGAGAGCGATTTTCAGGCATCACGTACTATCCTTATGACGCAGGTAGAAAAGATCAAACACAGTGTGTCAGTTCAAGATCCATTCTGTCAAGAACTTATTCAAGATCTCGAACGCATTTATCCATCAGAACGTGAATATCGTTCGTCGCATTGTCATACCTACATGAGTCATCGAACAGAACGCGGCACATATGTACCAAACGAGCATGTTAGTTCACAACGATATAACACTGATCATCAACGACAACTGGCCGCTAGTATTCAAAGAAAGTATTTTTCCTGAACTCAATCAATAAGACTACACTTAATCTTGATATGTTGGTAGGACTTCGTTTTTGTATGCTTGTTCATTTGATTCAGATTGATACGCAGCAAAATGGTCATTTTTATATGTACTTTTATTTACAAAAGAAAATACTTTCTTTATGGATGGTTTGATTAATATTTCGAATATTCACATTCACTGGCATTCGCTGTTCTAATCAAAATCAAAATCAAAATCAATAAAATTTATAAAAAAGAAAACGAAAATGCTCAGTTCTCTTCTAATTCGAGATCATACGAAGCGTTAGTTTAAGTAATCATTTATGAAATAGTACATTGAGCAGGTTCTTCTGTTGTATGAGACGATATGGATGATGATGATTGAGATCGAATGATCAGTTTTTTCATAGCATTGACGAATCGTGCGTATTCATCTAATGCAAAAGGATCTTGTGGATTGTATCGATTTTGAATTAAGGATTTCAATCGATCATATTCGACATCTATACGCGTCGGAGTTTGAGTAACTAATGTTGCATAAGTGAGAAATTCATCTCCATTATCAAATGTAAATATGTTGAACAAATAATCCGATAAAAGATTTTGACGAAACCAACATTTGATTTCCTCGTATGTCCATTGGTTGGGAGGAAGAGTTGATGTTTCCTCAATATTGGAGAGGGAACGTAAACTCCTAAGCGACGTAATTGCATTCGCAAATTGCTCACGACTAAATCCACGCTGGTGCATTCGTGTCTCGTATTCATCGACTAGAGAATCGTCATTAGTTAATAGGCGAATGTAAGTAAGCGCGGCTTGGCCCGATGACAAATCAAGCATTGTCGGAGGCAATTGAAGAAAATTTAGTAGCTCTGCATTAGTCCACTGTTCAACTGGTTTTCTATTGATCGTTGGTAATGATTGATTAGGTGTAGTGTCCGATGTTGACTCAAATCGCATCGCTTGCGGTCTTAAATTCTCCATCATTGGACTTGAGATCGGTTGCGTTCGTGGTAAGACTGGTGATACTGAAAGCACTGGACTTGGAACAATATATGCAACAGTTTGTTGTTGATTGATTGAAGTTGGTGCCTCATGAGATGTTGTTTTGTTAAAGCTTCGTTTTCTTTTATCCGTTGCATGAATCAAGTTGAGCAGGGTTTCCATCACTTTTTCATCACTTTTACCATCACCAAATCGTACAAAAGTAGCCGAACCGACGCGAATCTCAAACCAATCTTCTGGTTGATATTCTTTTCCTTGATAGATAGGTATAATCCGTTTGTTACGTTTATCAGCATGAATCACTTCTCGACGGCAACTTTTCGAAGTACAATAATTCTCGGTAACAAGCATGAGAACAACATCACATTGAGTAATGGCGCAAGCGATTTCTTCCCAGTCGTCTTCGTACGGCGGTTGTAATTTAATAAAATCTACCCAGACATCACCTCGGACACGACCTTCAAGTTTACTAACGAGCGTTTGACATAATTTTGTATCCTTATGTGCGTATGAAATCATTGCTTTAACATGATCATCATCGGTGTCGGTATCATCAATCGGTTGAAGATCCGTTTGTATAAGATCCAGATTAAAAAGGATACCTTTTGCTGCTCGTTTCATAGCGACAATATTTTCATCGGTAGATTCATTTGTTGAGACTTGTTGAACAAATTCAATGAATTCATTGTTTTCTTTTAACTTTGTTGAATAGTCTGACTGAAAACTGATCGACCAAAAAATTGTATAAAGCGAAGCACAAATCAATGTATTTAAATCAGTTGATTCGACATTATCATTTCTTGTGCAGGACTGATTAAATTCCAGAAATTTTCGAATAAATAAATCGAGTATACCATCTTTTGAAATGAAATACAAAAGAAATTTATCGTTAACCCCTAATTTAGCTAGACCAGCCAAATACTCCGTTACATTGTAAAGACCACAATTGAACTGAGATGAATTAAATGCTTGGACTGTTCGTTCGATTATGTGATCGAGTACATTTTCAATACTACTTATACGTTCTTGTTTCATTTCTTTCGGTTCGAGTAGAAGTACATAGAGAAGATAATAGGCAAGTACTGTATCTTCAAATGTTTTCATCATATCTGTTGATGGCAATTCTGTAAAATATCGATTTTTCCATTCTTTAAGAATATCAAGTGCTTTCAATTTGTTCAATGCTTTAACACCAATTCTATGGCGAGCAAAATTATAGAAGATATTAATAACAAGAAACCATGTTTCTAGGGAGATTTTATCATTGCAATCGCGTGTTTTTTTCATCCATTCGAGTATAGCCTCAGGATAGTTTGTTTTAACAAAATACGGAATATATCCGTAAATATCTGCCATATTAAGTAGCCATTTCAAAATCAACGTAACACTTTCTGAATGTTGACGATCGTCAATAAAATAACCATTCAAATAGGTAATAAATGCTCGAAGAAGGCGATCGGTAGTGTCGGTCGATTCAAAAAAGGTTGGCGTCGTTTTTCGTGAGACGCACAATGAAGAAGAGCCGCTTGTTTTGTAAAAAACAGCACGTGTACTAATGCAACAGAATAAATTCAAAAATTGCTCATCGATATTCATTTCGTTTGACGAAGGGAGACTTTTTTGAATAAGATAATTAATAGTTGAATCGTTTGTTAACCAGGCCAGTGAGATTTTAAGATAGAAATCGCTCATCGAAGGATTTGTCTCAAGATCAATCATCAATTGAAAACGAATTGTATCGAAAAACGTAAATACAATAGTTGACGACATTTCAGCAAATATTCGAAGCAGACATTGACGAAACAGATTGACTTCAAACGATTGAAGTACAAGAAGCAGCTGATTTTTTACATCAGACGATATTGAATTCGATTGTTTATCAATCTCTTGCAATTCATTACGAACAATATTTAACGAAGTACACAGATTCTCATCATGATAACTTCCACCAAGGAAAATTGTTTCAAGTTGACACAGAGCATTGGCCACTGTTTCCTTGCTTGACATGTTGACGATAGCTGCTGTGCAGGAAGCAAATCAAAAAATAAGAAAAGTAATATTCTTTCAATCTGTTTTATTCCCTCCTACATTGAATGAGTAATCGAATGTTTTCTTTTATCAAATAAAGATACTGTAAGATATTCTATTTGATCAAAGCACAAAAACAGTGCCAATATGCCTCCAGCAATTAAATTCTATCGGTTCGTTCTCTTTCGAAGTGACAGTAAATAGCAATTCATTATGCAGGATTTAACATAGAAAAAAAACACTGATTCATGGATGATTGTATTGCAGGTTTTCAATAAGCAGAATCAGACTAAACGTACTAGATTATGTGAGCGTAGTCAGATTTTATCAAAGAATTAAAAGAATCCGTTCCCTTCATATATCATTTCACCAAAAACAAATAACGCAGCTGAATAAATGTCCTGTAAATATTTTCAGTGTTAACATTGAAGATCAAGTGATCGGACAATTTATGGCATTGACAGAACATCGCTGTTTTTTTTTTGTATAGTATTGCCTATTTATGCAGTAAAACACAACTCACTGCAATAGAGTGTCAATAAACGATAAAATAATAAAGCTACTATGCAAACTGAAGTTGATTGTGCTGTTGATCAAGTTTAAATCATATTAATTTAGACAAGCCTTGTGTTTTCTGCAAAAGCAAAAATAACTTTTTCATATGTTCATTCATCTTTTTGTGTACTCAAAAAGAAAAGAGTACACTATAGAATCGGACAGTGTCCGGCCGTCCGGCCGTCCGTTTATTCGATAACTCTTCACAATTACATTCGATTGAGCTGAAATTTTGCGCACAGAATTATCTCATCAATATCTAGGTCGAGTTCGAAGATGAGAAGGATCCGTCAAGAAATGGCTGAGTTGTCGAAAAAATTGTCATTTTTTATCAGACCATCCCTGAGGAGGGGTACAGAGATTTTTCAAAAAAAACTTTTTTTTCTCAGAATTATCAACAACATATAAAAATCGAGTCAGTTTTTAACGCTGATTCTAAATCTGATATTAGTTTTGAACTAAGTCATAGCTTTCTAACGAAACATCGCCTGAAAAACGTCTCAAAATGCACAAAAACTGCATCCAGAAATCAAATTGCCTAGTTTCTCATGATAATTTTCGTGTTCAGACATTCTAGAATGACTCATATGTCGCATGCACTTTTTGCAGTACACATAACTCTCGAATGAAATCCGAAGTTTCCACATTTTTTTCAAATAAATATTATCGCGACCTGTTGGTGTGGTGCTGCCTTTTTTTCGTTACTGCAAATACAGAAGAAATTCATATTGGCATTCACATCCGAAAAAGAATCTTATTGTGTTCATAAAAAAATTGATTATTCCATAATTGTAGGATGCGAATGTTGTGTGATCGTTGTCTACACAGCAAAAAGGTAATTTTATCTTGAACACGAATTGGCATTAATAACTCTTATCTGTCAGGCAAAGCAAGAGAAAATCCGTCATTTTTATATGTTTATCGCATTATACGATCTTTTTCCTCAATGACAGATCTACTCGTCATCATTTTTGGTTGATTATAGAATAGTCGGAAAAGAAAAAGAAACTTTAGAACTTCCATAGACACACGGTATGCACCAACATTTTTCTTAATGCATGCTTTCCGAAGAAAACGAGTCGATTTGTTCTAATCATAGATGATAAAAGAAATGAGTTAGATTTCATCATCATATCAGATGCGATGTATGATTGCAGCGTCAATAAAACAGGAAAGCTTATTTCTTGTTTTTACGTATGTATACCTTTTCGCTTGAGAGAAAAAGAAAATGTGATCAATGTATTAACATATGAGAATATTTCGCGAAGTAAAATAGAAAAATCATTTAGATTTGTTTTCAGACAGGAGAAGTATTTTTCTCTTAATCTAATCATTAATTTTATAGAAACAAAATGTATAGTTTGTTTTTTGCAGTTTCACTTGTACTAACGAAACGAGTAGAGAAATAATCGTTATAGATTATCTGTTTTTCAAATCGATCAATGTTGAGAAATTGAATTCTTATATGTTCATGGGAGCGTCTACCTAAGCTTCTATTAGTTTGACTGCGGCTATTATCTATTCTACATCAGAGAATGCAGCTACAATTATTGTTTCATTATGGATAAGAATCATTTAAAAATCGAAATCAATAATATTCATCATAATAAGCGTCGACTATCATCAATATCTTTCGACATACCAAGCAGCACATATTTGTATGAAAGAGATCGTGTTTCACAGAAAAATTCCTCGATAAATATACAATCACATTTATCACCATCAATTAATCTCGAAGAAAACAATGAAACTCAATCACCATATCCTGGTTTGTCTGAAAAAGTATTTTACTGTCTCAAACAAACAACATCACCTCGTTATCAATGTTTACAATTGATAGCATCGCCATGGTTTGAACGTATAAGTATGCTTGTTATTTTACTTAATTGTATCACACTTGGAATGTATCAACCATGTGAACATCATTCGGATGCACAAGATTCGAAAAAATGTGACACAGCACGTTGTCTTTGGTTACGTGCAGCTGATTATTTTATTTTTGCATATTTTACTATTGAAATGTGTATTAAAATGACAGCGATGGGAATATTTGGTAAAGGAGCTTATCTAGCTGATACATGGAATAGATTGGATTGTTTCATTGTTGTTTCTGGGTACGTTCTATAAGTATAAATAATTCCTTTTATATTTTACTATCAATCATAATATTTCGTGATTATAGAAAAACTGGCAGATATGTGCTTATGTTATTTATAGCCTTCATTTGCGTTCATATCGGATGGATCAGAATAAATGCCATCGTCGGCAGTTCAATAATACCGCGCCTATCTTTTTTGTTAGTCTCACAAGCAGCTAACTAGCTGAGCAAAATTAAGCTTTTCTATATTTTCATATGCACTGTTTTGTCAGTGTGCTCAGTGAAGGCTTCTTGAATAAGAACATGAAAATTGCATAAAAGCAATATTTCTTGCGGTGTAGGCTTCCAGAAGTAAATTTACTCGTCACGTAAACAGTTCAAAAGAAGTCTAACATAGTGATGATTTGGCTCAGTGATCAAAGTGGGAGGAATTTGAGACGTCAATGAAAATACAGAATCTTTCTTTGCCTCTTGATAATAAGAACCAACGAATGAAAAGCTCTAATTTCGTGCCTTTTTCAGTGCGATCTTTTATAGTAAAACTTCATGTGAGATTTTGCGACGAATCTTTTGAACAAGAAACTGACTCCCTGCGATGAAAATTATACGAAATATTATCGAACTAACGACGTAGAAAAATCTGTTTGAATTTTGTTCTCATCAAAAGCTGATGACATCAGTTCTTGGGATATCCTGAATATTTCAGTTGAACAGGATGTTTCTCTTCCGGATTTACACATTTGAAAAAAAACAATAGATGAACTTCTATAACTTATCATACAAAAAAAATTATTAGTCTAGAAAAATCTATTATATAAAAAAAAACTACTGGTTCATTTTCTTTTTGTATCAAAAAACATGACATAAACGGATGAGCCGTAATTCAAGCGGTCAAATTATATTTGAAAATAATTTTGATATTGTTTCGTCGTGAACAGGACACGTCATACTCTAACTCGAAATAACCTTCATGGCGAGTTAGTTCTATTTTTTAATACAAAAAAGAATCCTACGCAAAAATAGTAAATATGTTCGATAAATGAAACACTTGTAGAAGTTTTTCTTGTTCGTTTTAATCATCATTCAGACAGAAAATGAAAAAGAAAGCAGTGAGTCTGAAAACTTTGGACTTCATGTACTCGAATTGAAAAACATTTATTAAACAAAATAAATTAGAATTTTACCTGGATAAATATGATTGATCTCGGTCATCTTCACTGGTGTTCATGATTTCATTGGCGAGCTAGAATTTATTTTTAGGCTCTTGGAATCAGTTATACCTGGTGATAATTTAAATCTATCAGCTATACGTACAATTCGAGTTCTTCGCCCACTACGTGCAATTAATCGTGTTCCATCGATGCGGATACTTGTCATGTTATTACTTGATACATTTCCAATGCTTGGAAATGTTTTACTTCTTTGCTTTTTTGTCTTCTTTATATTCGGCATTATTGGTGTGCAATTGTGGAAAGGTTTATTACGACATCGTTGCTTTTTACAATTCAACACAACCAATATACTTGATCAAGCATTATTTGAGTATGAATAAAGCAAACTGCGTTTTAGTTTTTATTCATAATCTACAAGTTTGACCGTTTATGTTATAGGAGTTTTCAGTTACCAGTATATTATATTCCGCGTGATCAAGATTCATTTGTTTGTTCATTTCCTCAATCAAATGGAATGACAAAATGTTCAGATGTACCAAAATTACGAAAAGGAAATATGACGTGCGAACTTGATTTGCATATGTATAATGAACAATTATCAAATAATCCGCACAAACCAATCAATGGGTGTATTAATTGGAATCAATACTATACATTTTGTAATGTTTCGGATCACAATCCTTATTCAGGTTCAATTAGTTTTGATCATATTGGCTTAGCATGGATTGCTATCTTTCAAGTATATTGAAAATTTTATTTCAAAAAAATTAAAATCGCTTTTTTCCCCTTAGATAATTAGTCAAGAAAGTTGGGTGAATATAATGTATTATATTCAAGATGTTCATTCATTTTGGGATTGGATTTATTTTGTGTTCTTGATTATTATTGGTTCATTTTTTTTGATTAACTTATGTCTCGTGGTTATTGCAACACAATTTAGCGAAACAAAAAAACGCGAAACAGAACGAATGCTAAACGAGCGAAGACGTTATTCACGTTCATCAAGTGCACGAGTGACTGATGAACACAGTTCGTGCTGGGCAAATACAATTACGTATCTTGAATATTTATGGAAAAAAGCATTTAAAAAAATGCTTATTTCATGGAAAAACTATCGACTGAAAGATTTAAATGTAAGACTCGATTGAATTTATTCGAATTTTACTATTATTTTTGATGAGGCAACATTTTCAGTTGTCGAAGCGCTTTTGAGTTCTGACACTTTGCATCAGGTAGAGTGTGGTGAAGTACGAAAAATCCGAAGAAACAGCGCATCTCTATAGGTCTTTTGTCTAGAATAATATGAAAAATTTGAACCACAATATTTCGAAATAAGCTGATAGCTTTACTACTGGACGAAAGACCTATGCGGATTCGTTCTTTTGGGATTTTTCATACCTCATTGTTCTAGCAAATGAAGACCCCGGTATTTGAATGAAATACATATTTTGTATATTCTAGGTCAACAAAAAAAGTCGTCAAACAGAAACTGAAAATAATAATCAAACAACCATTGAACTCCAGCGAAAACCTAATTCGACAATAAATTTAACTTCATTTCGAAATTTCGATATTATTCATCGTCCGTATTGTCGATATCATCAACTAACGCATTGTTCATCCATTCAAACACCACCATATTTATGTTCATCGTCTACTATTGGACTAGCAGGTAATTCTCATCAACTAGATGTTGTCAATTTACCCCAAGCAGGAAACACTTCGTCGCTAGAACTTCAAATGGTTCCAGATTCATCATCATTTTCCTATGAACCTGACAATAATTCAGTTCCATCAATGTCAATTTATAGAAAAATAATGAAACCTCTTCATGTAGATCTTGAAACCGAAGATAAAAATCAATGTGATTGCTATCCTGAAAATACTATACCCGATGGATTAATCATGCAAAGTGAAACTGAAGAACAAGATAATGTTGAAGAAGAAAATAGTATAAAACCCAAATCCAAATTATCTAAATTTTTTAATCGATATATTTGGTCATGTTTTCGTAATTTTCAACAATCTGTAGCAAAATTCGTTGAAAGTAAATATTTTAGTCATATCGTTTTATCAGCTATTCTTATGAACACTATACTGATGAGCGCTGAGTATCACGGACAACCACAAGCATTAACGAATGCATTGGAATATAGTAATTTCGCATTCGCATTAGTATATGCTGCTGAAATGATGTTAAAAATAATTACCGACGGTTATTTAAAATATATTAAAAATATTTATAATTTGCTCGATAGTGGCATCGTCATTATCAGTATTATTGAATTGCAAGGACATCGAAACAGTGGTTTAAGTGTTTTGCGTACATTTAGATTATTACGTGTGCTTAAACTTGTTAGATATATGCCCGCATTGAGACAACAACTGGTAAGTTGAATTTTATCGACGAGGCGGTTTGAAGCCGAGAGAGCTTCTGAACTATGAGAAATCTTTCTAACTGCATATTATGTTATAGGTTGTAATGCTGCAAACAATCGATAATGTGGCAACATTTTTCTCGCTATTACTTTTGTTTATTTTCATTTTCAGGTAAGCGATAAAGCATTTCACATACTTCCTCTTATATCTAAATCTCTTGTCCAGCATATTGGGTATGAATCTGTTTGGTTGTAAATTTTGTAAGAACCCAGAGAATGATAACAATGAAACTGCGGAATCTGAATGTCCACGAAAGAACTTTGATTCTCTTCTATGGGCAACAATAACTGTGTTTCAAGTAATTCGAATGAAATAATGTTTATGTTAATTTCATCATGAGATTTCTTAAAAATAGGTTTTAACTCAAGAAGATTGGCACGGCGTGCTTTACAGTGGAATGAAAAATACAAATGCATGGGCAGCATTATATTTTATAGCATTAATGACATTTGGAAATTACGTTTTATTTAATTTACTTGTTGCCATTCTCGTCGAAGGATTTTCATCAGATGTAAAGACAAATAATGATTGTTTCGCTTTAAATTATTGATTTTTCTCGAATTTCTAGAAAGGACCCGCTAATACCGATGCTGAAAGTACGCCAAATCGATTGGCAAATATTGATCCATTCACAGTTCGTTGATTTTTTTCTTTATTCAAATGCTAAAAGTTATCTACTTTTCTATTTCATAGACGCAAGCACTTCTCACAGGATATATTGAAAAACTTTCGCATCCACATGAGCCAAGCATCGATCAATCAAAAAGGTGCAATCAAGAACCTAAGGCTTCTGAAATAAAAGGTATAAAAAAAAACGATTATCTTCTAATTCAAATAAAACTTTATCTTTCAGAAATGAAAACGATTCGCATACCTAGAATTGCCATAAGCAATCAGCATACTGCAGGTTTAAGTATCGCTAAAAATCATTTTAAACCAAATGCAAATCAACATTCAAATTCCTCATCGCCCTATAAATCAATCACAAAAATGCATTCGTCAGAACAACAATCATTATCGTCATTAAGTTTTCACACGTGCATTCAATCGTCGAATGTATTTTTATCACGTCAACACAGGTCTTCTATTACGTCAATGAAAAATCGCTCATCGACATCCGTTAACGATGATTATCTTCAAATATATGATAATGTTAAAAGTCAATCGCTATTAAGTCCTATGCAAAGAAGAAGTTCTAATCAAGAATCATTAAAAAACCGTTCGTTTGGCTATAAAGATCAATATATTAGTCAAGAAATAAATGAATCGAATCTACTCTGTAAACGACGATCAACGATTGATAGTTCTAATTATTCACGAAGCCAAAAAGAAACATCGAGTGTATATGAAACACCAAAGCATAATCACACCGCGCCATACTTAACGAATCCTTACCGAATAGATGGTGATAAAATCTCGAACGTATCGATAACAACAATGAGTAATCAAAGTGACATGCAAAATAATTTAAGACAAAATCAAAATAAACAAAACCGAGGGGTAAGTAGTGAATTTTTTCAAAAAATAGTTAGATTATGTAATTTTCCTATGGTAACGGTGATAGTTAGAGTATGTTGAGTCCTTCCCGATTGGGCTGTAACTAGAGTGTTTTTCTCAACGGAGAGAATATCTATGAAATTTTGTTTCTATTTCAGATCTGTCGAACGTATTTAACGCGTTTTTGCGACAATCGATTCTGCAAGTATTTCGACGACCGTGAAAACTATGCACTGTATATATTTTCACCAGAGAACAGGTAAGTTATTATTTACGAAAAGAAAGCAATTAAACGATTTTGTTTTTAGATTTCGTCAAATGTTGAAGCGATTAGTTGTTAAAAAGTCATTTGATCATTTAACTTTAATTTTCATTGCTCTTAATTGTATAACAGTTGCTATGGAAAGTCCAACAATTCCAGCAGCAAGTTTTGTATGTTAGAAGTTTTCTTTCTTGTGCTGAAATAACTAAAAATAAAAAACATGAAACGCCTTTTTTCTGTAGGAACGACTTTTCTTAAATATAACGAATGTTATTTTTACAATCGTATTTACAATTGAAATGATGGCAAAAGTTATTGCGGTTGGTTTTGTGTTTGGCCCAGATACTTATTTACATAGTGGATGGAATGCAATGGATGGTTTGCTTGTTTTAATATCGATTGTTGATCTTGTTGCAATGCATCAAGCGGCACTAATATCATCGAATCCGAAATCAGAAGGAGCAACTCATATATTTAGTATGCTTAAAGTTTTTCGCCTATTAAGAACGTTACGACCATTGAGAGGCGAGAACATGAAAATGTCTTGTTTCATCATGAAATATTTTCTTCTTATTTTCTAGTTATCAATCGAGTACGTGGTCTCAAACTTGTTTTACAAACATTAATTTCATCATTACAACCTATCGGTCACATTGTTGTGATCTGTTGTACATTTTTTATTATTTTTGGTATTCTTGGAGTTCAGGTAACGTACCGTTTTCCATAGGTATATTTTGCCCATGGGTTAGTCAGTTCGAGTCAACATCGAGATACTCTTTTTTATGCGTCAAGCTCGAAAAAAGGCCTGGTTCGTCTATCCCTGATCCTCGGGAAATATTAGATTCTCATGTTCTCCTGGAGATATTCGCTCTATTTTCAATCACTAAACAAAATCTATCTTATTTCTATTCTCCTCATTAGCTATTCAAAGGTAAATTTTACTATTGCGAAGGCCCATATTCTCGTAATGTAACAACACGACAACAATGCGAAGGTATGCCTGATCATCGTTGGAAAAATCAACAATATAATTTTGACAATCTCGGTCAAGTATGCGTTAGCAGAGCTCAAATATTTATTAACAACGATAAGTAGCGTTCTTTTCTTAGGCATTGTTATGTTTGTTCGTTTTGTCATCACGTGATGGTTGGGTACAAATAATGTACAATGGTATCGATGCTGTTGAGGTCGATGTACAACCCATAAGAAATTACAATCCAGCAAAAATCGTTTATTTTATTTCATTTCTATTACTTGTTGGCTTTTGTATATTGAATATGTTCGTTGGTGTTGTTGTAGAGAATTTTCATAAATGTCGTGCCGAACAAGAACGCGAAGAAAAGGAAATGCGCTTAGCTGAGTGCGCAAGAAAACTTGAAGCTAAACGACGCCGCATGCTTAAAATACCATATTATGTACATTTTGGTCTATGGAGAAGACGCTTACATCGTATATGTACTAGTAAATATTTTGACTTAATCGTTGCTACTATTATCATACTCAATGTTGTCACAATGTCATTAGAATTCTATTTAATGCCGCCGGTAAACTGATCTTCAAAAATTGACTTTTTTTTCTATTAACTGTTCTCACAATAGGCTTTGAATATCGTTCTTGATTATTGTAATTATACATTTACAGTTGTATTCATAATCGAAGCCATATCAAAGACTATTGCTCTCGGGCCATTACGTTATTTAAAAGACAGGTAATTGTAAGATGAAAAATTATTTTAAAATTGGAATTTTCATTTCATCAATTTCAGATGGAATCAAATTGATATTGCAATTGTTATTTTATCGATTTCTGGCATTATTGTAGAAAAAATGAACAATGGACATATACTTCCAATTAATCCAACACTTATACGTGTTATGAGAGTGTTAAGGATTGCGCGAGGTAAACAAATTATTCTCGATAGTAAAATATGATTTTTTTTATGCGACTGAAGATGCCGAAAAATATCGACAATGAAAATAGGAAAACTCTACTGGGGTGAACTCGTTATGAGTTAATCGATTGACTCAGCGTGTCGCCTACTAACGTATTTGGTTCAATTTTCTTGTATTCGAAGTGAATGATGTGATGAATTATATCATCTAAATCGGTTCGAAGACGAGTATTGAATCATTCCTTTTAAATTATGATAAACGAAGTTCCTGAGCTCTCGAGAAAACTTCGGTGATAACTAAAAAAATGAGTTGTTTATGAAATTAAATTACTCGCTTTAACGTTGTTGTCGGCAGGTAAAATTATTAGTCCACTGAAAAAACCATAAGAATTTTTACTAACCATATCGATTGATATTTTTGAAAACAATGTTCTCTCATTTTAGTATTAAAACTATTGAAAATGGCCAAAGGTATTCGCGCTTTACTAAATACGGTCATGGAAGCTCTTCCACAAGTTGGAAATTTGGTAAATAAAATTATGATCTCGATGTTGATGATAAAAACTGTCGCTGTTCTGCTTTTGTATTCCTATTAGAGTCTTCTATTTCTTCTTCTCTTCTTTATTTTTGCTGCACTCGGTGTTGAGCTATTTGGAAGATTAGAATGTAGCGATGAACGACCTTGTGCCGGACTCGATAAACATGCGCACTTTAAAGTGTTTGGTATGTCATTTTTAACACTATTTCGTATTGCAACTGGTGATAATTGGAATGGAATTATGAAAGTTAGTCGTTTTAAATCGCACACATCCGTTTTCTAGTGCCATTGTAAACTCTTGCGTTTGCTTATAGGATGCATTACGTGCAGACGATTCAATACATGATGGAAAAAATGGTTTCATGAGTATAATCGCACCGATTTATTTTGTTGCTTTTGTTCTTATGGCACAATTCGTTCTTGTTAATGTTGTTGTTGCTGTATTAATGAAAAAACTTGATGTAATTTATCAAACGAATAGCGGAAACATTGAAATTTTTCATTTTTTTTACTACTGTTTTAACTAGGAGTCAAATCAAATGATGACTGATGATGCCGAAACTGATGAAGACACTGAACGACATTTAACAGCTATTGCGAGTGCGCAAGATTATTCAAAAAAAGCATTTCTTAATAATAAATATCCAGTAGTAAGTATCAGCAATTTGATTGTTTTGCATATTTTCAATATATGTTTTTTTTTCATTTTAGTTTGCAGACTATAATTATATTCCGTATTTTCCATGTAAAAGACGATTATCTTTGCCAACAAATTTTACATTTCATTCAATAGTTTCAGCCGAGGAACGTGCAGAAAAAGGTTTGTTTTCTGATTTAAGTGTGACTGAGATGAATAAAATCCTTCCCTTTTATTCGTTTGTGTTCAAATCAAAATCAGATTTTAGTTGCCCTGCTTTTTTGTAGCTCTCGAATTCTACAGTATAAGACATACAGGAATTTTATTCTGATATCAAGAGCATCTCTTTCTCTTAAGACCTATACTTTATATTGGCACTATATGCCTGCTCTCTATCATTTTTCAGACAAATTAACATTAAAAGTCAAAGCACAGTCACTATCATCGACTATCAGTACGATTTCTCGTAGTGTAACACCAATACCAAATGAAGCAGTACCTCAAAATAAAATTGAAGAAAATCTCACATTAAATACTTGAATAAATGCAAAAATCGTACATTGGCCATTGTTTCTCGTTATCGCTTCAGCACAATTTCTAGGCACGATATCGGCAACGCGTTCATAATCAGTAAAATCGGCATTCAATCATTTTCCAAATGCTTGTTACAAAAATCTAGTCGACATGTTCAATGCAAACGGTACACAAAAACAAGTGCGCCTACTTATTAATATTGTATTTTTTTCTTATTTTCTAAATATCGTCTTGTTGATCAACGCATTTTCCTGTGCTGTATTTTTTGATTGTGTGTCTATTCAATATACATTTTATTTTGATTTTTTCCAAAACCAAAGCGTTTACGTGTCGGCCAAAGCAAAATTTTGATTAATGTATCATCTAGTCTAAATATCGATAATAGAAAAAACAAATTCGTACATTATGTAGATTCTTGCAATTTATTATGTCTCGTAAAACTATACTAAGGAGTATGGAAAATAAATTGGTTCGTATTTCTGTTTTGAGTTGAAAGAACAGAATAGTGCCATTTATTTTGTTTGTCAGAATATACATAGCGGTAAATAGCAAGTATGCTACAATCAGTATTGACTATTTTCGGAGATTTTATTCATGTTTTACTTCATTACGATATAAAAATATTCAACAGATGATAGTTTTCTACTATGGGAATCTATTCAAATTCATAGTTATTTTTCAAATATAAATACAGAGTAATTTAAAATCTAGTTTACTCGATGTCAACGTCAGAGTTCGATTGATATGGTGCAGTAAAAATTAAATCACATGGTACAGTTTCTCTGTTCTGTTTCCGTTGTCGTTGTTTAAGACTGGCTAATCCATGATGCCATAAAAGCAATTTTAATCGAAGATGCTGTTTAGCTGACGAAGGGTTTTGTTGTGTACAGTGTTGATAGGCCATTGGAGGTGCTGTTGTAAGGGATAATTTTAATGGTGAACGCTTGTGAGAGAATAGGGAAAGCAGAGGTTTGCCAAATTATTTAAAGAATAAAAAAATAAAAACCGAATAATTCAATGACAAGTGCGCAGAAAAGAAGCGTATGAAAAGTGAGTTCCGCCACGCGAATAATGGGAGTTTGGTTATTTGAAGGAAAACGGTTGCTCTCTGAATGTTACTGTTAGTGTTGTATATTGAAAATTGTACTGAATATAATCGCCCTCTTGCTCGTAGATCACTGCGCCCGGAAGGAAAGTATCAACAACCGTTGGCGCCTATCAGCCATCGAATTGCGTTAGTTCACCTATGGTGAGTAGTTTTGATTGATTCACGGCTTTAATCCACAAAACAGATAAACTAGCAGAACGGGATAGAGTTTGATTCCGTGTCCAAAACAATTGGCATGCATGAAGAGTCTGTAATCGAGAATTGTTATTTTTATGACCAGGGCCACGAAGATACAAGCGACATGCACCGATGAAGTAGGGTCCGCTAACATTCATCTGTAGGGCCATTTCATGTTGTGGCAAAACAACACTTACTGATTGATTGATATTGTCTGGCTGTAGTATGCAATTTGACATGGATATGTGAATATATCTGGCACCGGCATGATTCTGTTTAAAACTTATGTTGGGACAATCGGCTTTTATTTTGACTAAATCGAATGTTCGTGTTATGGGTTGTTGTCTTAGCATATTGAAAATTGGCCATAATTTACCACTGCTATCTGGAAGAGGCAACTGAAAAGCATTGTCGAATAGAGAATTATGCAAATCGCTATCACATTTAGAAGAAAATTCAGATGATGCTTCGATTGGATACAATTTTACATATTGAACAGCAAACCAGAAAGCAAAAACGAACACTACGATGATTGAAGGTGAAAATAATCCATCTACCCATTGTTCGCCTTCATTAATAATATCGATTCGTTTTAAACATCCTTTAGCCATACGGTGGCGATGTTTAATTTGGTCGGAGCCAATTTTTTTTATCAATATCATAACCAACCATACGACAAAAGTGATTGCAACACTAATCAGAATCCATAGGATTGGCATCGAAGTAAGACAATTGGTTGTCCTACCAAAATAGATCATGTGGCGCACGAGAAGATTATCGTAATTGTTTGTGTCCGGTGTATCTCGATATGGAAATGTTTGTGTATAGGAAGGATATAAATTAAGAGTGACAGTGTCATCGATGGAACCCATTGGACAAAATACATCGGATGAACATGATTCACAATGATTGCTTGGTCTGTTGCCAGAGTTCTTTGCCTGTGGAGGACAAATAAAACATGGTCCAGCACTGAAATCATTTTTAAAAGTACCGTAAAGACAATATGATTGGTCAGAAATCGTAATCGAGAATGAACGATCTTCGGTGATGTTAGAATAAAATCCAGGTGGTGCCGAGCGAATGACAAACATTCTTGATTGATCGGTTAACACGCTTGATTGGTCTGGCCAATATATGATATTTAAGAAAAGCGGAGATCGTCTCATTGCCAATGTTTGTTGCTGATTAGGAAATATGAAGAGACGTATGCCGATGCCTGAATAAAAATCATATATTCGAACCTCTGGTCGAGACCACGATCGGTTGAGTACATCGAATACATTAATAGCCACTGTTCTATCATTAATACATGCTACAGATCGACCAACTCCAACACCAGACGGAGATCCAGTAATGATTTGTGTCGTATTAAACGCAGAATTCGCATCATTTATGTTGCGATTCAGCACAAAAATGTTTTTGGTCATTGATATGCCAATAAGTGCTTTACTTCGCTTGTAATTAATAGCTACTGACGTATCATTTTGTCAATCATAAGAAATTGCCATCGATGCTGATTGAACATAATAATCATTAATATATATGTAATCGATTATTTTCAATGGTTGAAAAATGATGAGAAGAGCTGCACGTATGACTAGGCTGCGAAAACATAGGAGCCACCCATTAGCCTGCTATTATATTCCACGTATCGGCAATATCAAATCAGTGTGGAGAATAGAGGCTTATCCAAAAAAAAAATCGGCATGCTAATTAATTCGACAATTGTACCGTTGGCAATATCAATCGAAGCAATGAATAAATCCGCAAATACATATGCGTACTGTTGAGAAGAAGCTACTTTGAGTAGCATGTACTGTTGATGATTGCCAGACCATAAGCGGAACATTCTGACTAGTACTGCACCATATCCACCTGGAAATTGATTTGATATAAATTGATAATATGACATTTGAGATGGATATGTATATACATGAGATCGACATTCCTTTCTATCTGGAAAGTGATCCATATAACATATTGACTGTGTATATTGAAAGTCATTGAAAGTGTTTCGAATGTCTTCATTTGATGGTATAACTATGTCATTTTGAATACTCATAATCGGATGAATATCGAATGTGAATTTATTAACTCGTGGCATACGATTAACAATTTTATTCCTCAAATTATATCCATCAATGAATGCTTGTTTAACCAAAATCGAAAGAGACAAATTGAGTGTTTCTAAATTCGACATTCGATAAAGAAGTGCGAGAACCAATTCATCGTAACAGGATATTGTCTCAAAACAAGACAAAGAAAAACACTTTAGACTTGGTATATCACCCTACAAGACGAGAAATACAAGAAGATTCAATTTCTTTTTCTCTTGCAAAAGCTAACTTGATTTTCAATTTTTTCCGATGGGTAAATGTTGGTTGTCTCCAGAATGAGTGTGTGAAGTTGATTGAAACGACCACCGAGAAAAAATAAACATATAGGAAAGCCGGGTGTGGGTGTGGGTGTGGGTGTGGGTGTGGGTGTGGGTGTGGGTGTGGGTGTGGGTGTGGGTGTGGGTGTGGGTGTGGGTGTGGTTTAACTAGTTGTCCACAACCAAACCCTCAATCACACCCACACCCACACCCGCTAGCCAGTGAAAATAGATAACACAAGAAAATGCAAGAATAAAATATCACTCACTGAATTTTAGAATTCAAAAAGTAAATTTATGGAAAAATATACTCTTCGCTATTTTTATATGATCGACATTTTATTTTTCGCTATTATTGTGTTCACCATTTAGTACTCGACATATTTTCTATCGACATTTCTTCTTTCGCTCTTTTTCTTCGCTCTTTTTTCTTTCGCTGATTTTAATGCCATTCCTTAAATACAGTAAAAATATGGTTGCTTGTGCATTTCATTGCTGAATAGGGCTTCATTTTCACATCAACACCAATTGTAATTAGAAGTTTGGTAATTTGATTTTTCAAAAGATCACATGACAGATTCACATCTACGCATAGAAATAATAGTGTGAACAAACAAATAGTGGGAATGTTTATTTCAAGCTATCGATCATTTCGATAGTACTATGACAATTCGAGCTTGAGAATTTCTTACCAGTGAAAAGACTTCGAATTGTTTCTTCTTCGGTATTGAATAAGCCCAGTCCATGTAAATTAGGATAATTAGTAGCACATAGAATTTGTTTCGTAGTTGGTAAGTCAACATCAAGCCATTGAATTTTTTTGAGGATGTGGATGTAGGTATTGAAGGATCTTCTTTTACATCCACACTCGCACCCACAAAGTTCACTGGATATTCGCCAATTGGCGAACGTGCAGGGGGTATATTCACATGCTGGGGAATCTGAATTTGGGGCTAATTCAATATAAAAGAAAAAAAGAATTTCTCACAAAATCCAAATTACAGCGGTATAGCGCTATGGCGATGTAGCGGTATAGCCAAGGGGGAACCAGCTGAAGTCAGATTTATTCTTTTCTTGTGGGTTTTTATAATATTTTCTAATTTTCAATCAAAAAATAAAAATAAAAATCCCAAAAATAAAAAAATGACTATCAAACTGTTTCATCTTCGATTCATATTTTTAGACAACAGAAATTAAAACTGTATTACTTTTATTCTTGTTTTTTGATTTAAAATCAATTGATTTAAAATTAGAAAAAAATCGTAAAAATCCACCAAAAAAAAACAAAAGAATCATAGCAACAAAAAGAATCAAAACAATTGACTTCAGCTGTTTCGTCCGTGCCTATACCACTACATCGCTACACCGCTGCAATTTTGTATTTCTGTACTAACTCATTTTCGTTTAGTTTTGAATTTGCCGCAAATTCAAATACCCCATGATGTCGGTATATTGGCAACAGCCCTATTGGCGATGTGCCAGTAATTCGTTTTTCTATTACTGACGCGATCTTATGTCACATGGAAAAATAATGCTTTCAACTACGCTTAAAAAGATGTGCCTTCACCATTAAAAGTAGACTGGATACACGATTCGTGTCAGCACTAAAGTCGTCTTCTACTCGCTTTACTGTTCTTGCCATGCAGCTTGACAAAAATAATCACATTAGAACGATGCAATACAGACATTTAGGATTAGCAATCATGCATAATCGTTGAGTATACCACTATTATCAGGAAACAAATAATTGAAGATGATGTAAATAGTTCATATGATATTAAAAATGCTCTATTTATATGTATCCATGTATATATTGATCGCAATTGACAAGGATATCTATAATTAGAATAATTACGCATTCGAAAGTCAGGAAACTGTGCGCATACATCCGTAAAAACGAATTTTCTTTATCGTCATCGGTAGAAGAACAGAAAACGCGCGACAATATTGCACGTCATATCAAGCACGAATGGTTACTTTTATTTAGTATATTGTACAGCAAGTAATATGCCGTGTTCACTGAAGTGTCTCAACAAAGTTAAAGCAAAAGGAGATATTTGCGAAAATTGAAAATCTCTAAAAAGTTCTTCCAATAGAATCAAGTTAAAATACTAAAAATAAATAAAAAAAACAAAAATAAACAAATCTTGTTATTTCATGTCATTTTATTTTCATCTATATTCATCTTCACTTATTCTTCGTTTTTGTTAGCAGTTTTACATATATAATATAATACATATCTTTGTTGTTTACCAAATCTAAAAATAAAAGTAACCTAATTAGATTCAAAAAGCAAATTCTTTGTTGGATAAGAGTTATTCCACGGGAATCATGGCCGACTGTCGGAGAAGCTACCTATTTTGGGATCATCTTACAGAGACACGTTTGAAGGATTTTGAGGCAAACTGTTTGAAAATATATTGTTCCGTTCTCGTCTGAGAGTACTATTGTCAAAAGGCGCATTTTGGTGGCATCCATAACTCAACAACAATGCATCAATCGAGTTTGAAATTTCTACTATGAACACGACCCAAATTGAGGATTAGGCTCAAGAGAAGAACCGCACCCATACCCAATTCATGAGGAATTCATTAAAATTTATTTCAGAATAAATAATGGTATGGTTGTAGGGGTTAACATTCTTTTAACGGACTCCCACACCCGCTTGCACAATTGATGCTAAAAAACAAAGTTCAATTCAGGTCCTTTTTGCATTAATACACAAAAAATACTTTTGATGCACGATCGATGAGTAGTTTGATTACTTACACTAATTTGGATTCTTTTTCATATATTAGCACGCGAATAAGATGAATGGATGTGAGCAAAAAAAAAAGAAAAAATCAAAAATGTTGCATTTGTGGTGTCTCCCATCATTCATTTTCTCGCTATAAGCATCGAAAGCATAGGGAAGACGTGGAAAGATTTCCACCAGCACGAGTACTAATGCCTTCAGAACACATCAAAATAATAAAAGTAACTTTTCCATTCACAGATATAGATCTCATTGAAAAAAGACTTCTACTCTTCTTTTATAGATGCAGAAAGTCCATAAGAAAAATTCCAATGTATCCACTCAAAAATCACCGATTGCAACGTCACAAAGTACTTCAGTTCGTTTGACTCTCAGTCAACTAAGTCTATCAAATGCCAAAGTGTTTCCATTGGAGAATATTCAAATGAACCAATTTTATGATAGTTCATCGACTCAATTGACCAAAGAAACATCACCAAGCATAGCTCCTCAGTAAGCATTATCCGTTTCCTATCCTCTTATTGTGTTTACTACCGTTCGATACATGTTGCTAATAGAAATCGAACAACAACTCCTGGTAAAATGAAATTTAAGCCTTGGAAAGTTTTGACTTTTGGCTTGGTCACTCTTGTCGTCACCTGCTCTCTAGCAGCATTTGTAATTGGCTTGTATTTCCTCATCATAAGTACCAAAAACACTGCTTCAAGCAACACGACAACAGGTAAAAAAAACTCTATATATTTGATCAAGTGTGCGATAAAACCAAAGTGTTTATCAAAATGAAAGTTTTCAGATGAATTCTGTCAAAGTTAGAGTATATCTAGGAAAAATTAAAAGCAACGATTGACTTAAAGATGTTCGATTGCTTCTATTCGAGCATTGGCCGAGTTCTCGTGTGTTATTCGTCATTATTAAATGACGAAATATACAAAAAGAATCCACACGCTCCCACTCATAGCACCACTACGTCTTCTAACATAACGTGATCATATTATATTTTTAGCTGCTCCACGGACACTAATTTGGGATACCACGGGTATCACAGCTTACGGCACAGGAGTCTCAGGTTCCACAGCAAATCAATTTAATAATCCAAGTCATATTTTCTTCAATTCATCGAACTCTCTCTACGTTACCGACTATGGGAATAACAGAGTACAACACTTTTCTGCCGGCTCGTCGTACGCAACCACAGTTGCAGGTCAAGCTAATGGGCAGTGGGGTACCACTTCCTATTATTTGAATCAAGTTCCATATGCCATAACAGATTCAAGTGCCAATCTGTACGTTTCAGATTCGCGAAATAATCGTGTTCAATATTTTGCATATGGTACATTAGCAGGAGTAACGGTAGCAGGCGCAGGTAAATTCCCGATCACATTTATTCTTAATTGGTACAGAAGAAAGCGTAGCTCAATTGAGAATCATTTATAAGTTTTGATGTGACAAATGTACCCCGAGGAAATAATCATCGTCTTTTTTCTCATTACTTTGCTATACTTTCCAATTTTTGAATGACTTTGGACAAGAATATTTCTCTAGGGTGTTAAATTCTTTTATGATTTTAAACGGATATCTGTTTTAAGGAGGTTCAGGTTCTTCGATGAACCAGCTAAATAATCCACACGGGCTGGCTCTTGATTCGAGCACGAACAAACTATACATAGCGGACACGAACAACCACAGAATTATGTGTTATGTCATCGGTGTATCAAGTGGTACCGTCGTGGCAGGTGGCAACGGTCAAGGAACACTCAACACTCAACTCAATACGCCGATAGGCCTCCATCTTGATGCGCCATCAAATAGTCTTTATATTGCGAACGCTAACTCCAATAATATAATAAAATGGGTGGTGAATGCTAGCACATGGACACTGATAGCTGGTGCTCCCAATGGGCAATCTGGTAGTACGTCAACATTCCTTAATAATCCGTACAATTTTATATTCGATTCGAGTGGCAATTTGTACGTAGCTGATACTAATAATCATCGCATACAATTGTTTTTGCCCGGTCAATTTAACGGAACAACTATTGCAGGTGTTACGGCTTTATCTGGAAGTACTACTAACAAATTTGACTCACCGCAGTCATTGGCGCTCGACAGTAATTTGAATTTGTACGTGGCTGATACGGGAAACGATCGCATACAGTACTTTGCACGAATCTAAAGTTGTTCGTGTTCATCAGTTGATTTTTTTCAATTCAAAAAAAAAACTTATATCTCAGTACAAATTATGTGAAATAATCGCAGAAGGATGGTATATCATACAGCTTTGTAAATATAATTCCCAATGAGTGTTGATTGAGAGTGTGAAACAATTGAACATAGGTGCCTGCATTCCCTAGGACACACCTCTATTACGAATGATTCTACAAATGGACAATCGTTTAGCTTGGTTAGATATCCAAACAATAGACATATGAGGCGTGCGATGTTCGTGTGTGTGTGGGGGGGGGCTTGGCCAACCACCCCCCCATATCATCGAGGAGAGAGAACAGAGAGAGAGAGAGAGAGAGAGAGAAGGAAAGAAAATAATCGATAATTAAGATTTACCGCTTATCTATATGTCATTCGAAAATGAATCCTATTATTCATTTCACTTGGAATAAATCAATTTATTGCTTACAAACATAAATAAATGCCTTGCACAAAAACAAAAACATTTTTGTGTTTATCTAATTACTCAGAATGTTGAGTAAGTCGTTGTTTCTCCTCGTGTTACCATAGAGTGTCAAAGAATAGGAAGAAAAAAAGTATTTTCGGACGAGAACAACGTAGAAGAAGAAAAAGAAAAAGTAATATAGGGCCGTTTTTTAAGACTACTGTTGACACTGCTCTGAATCATGCTCACTCATTTATGAAAAGGTAAGAAATAGAAAATACGCCTGAAAATTATAGAATTTCATATTGATAGTGGGCCTATTTCAACAAGTGTGAGCACGGTTCATGAAATATGAATCATCATCTAGAGTATAACTAAACATTTCGAGAAAAATATCCAAGCTTTTTTGCTAATAAACGTCATTAGATCAAAATGATCATTGAACATATTAATTGTATTCTGATCACCTTTTCTCTTATAGTACCAGTGTTGCTGGGTGATCATTATCATAATATTGCTTCAAATGCACAATATTCTGGCGGTTTCTCTATTTTTCATTTTTGGAGCGCAGTTTTATTATGTTAACTGTAAGCTCTTCTAAATAATTTGTCTTATCAGTTGTATTAAACGATTTGTTTTCTAACAAAAAGGAACCAATGACAAACGTGTCTCTACTCGATCTTCCTGTCGAAATTCTTCATTTCATTTTGGATCATCTTGATACGCCAACTATTTTCCGTTCACTTCGCAGCGCTTCCAGGCAACTCTATGCGACTGTTAATGCCTATGATCGGTTTGAACTCGATTTATCGTCTGTTGCGCAGTGCCATTTGGAATTCATATCCGATCTTATTCGCACTGAAAACATTACTTCTTTGATTTTCTCTTTTGCGAACAACGAGGGAGCGGTCAATGCTGACCTGGTACTATCGATCTTTAGTACTCGACAGTTTACTCGACTTCGTTCGCTGACTCTTCTTGAAATTAATAAAATTGAACTATTAGATCTTTTATTGCAGCATGTCGACCTCCTGTCACTGGTATCATTTTCCGTTCAGTTGCGTAACGTATATGGAACTGAAACGCTCCCTCTTCTTTCAACAGTTATCGCTCAACCCAATATGCGCAAGCTGCGTCTAATAGGTTTCAATTATATGAAACCAGCTCTATCATGGCCAACTCATTGTGCATTACAGCAGCTGAAAATCGGATGTTGTACTTTTCAAGAATATAACTTTATTCTGGAGCACTGTCCTCTTTTAAAAACATTCGAAATGCAAAACTGCACCATGTATCACATTAATAATCGTATGAATGTAACATCGTCTGCTGGTGCACACTTTTCACAACTGACTTCTTTAACAATGAATAATTGTTATTTATCGTTCGGGGAACTTTATGTTCTTCTTTCCCTGACGCCATCACTCATTCATTTCAAACTAATCAACGTTGGATGGAACTCTAACTCTTTATTCGATGGTTTTCGATGGGAGGAGTTCATTCAAAAAAGTCTACCACTTTTGAATAAGTTCGACTTTTGTTTTCGGCGCACTTCAAGCAACTGTTCTGAATTTCATAGTCTTCATTCGATTATAAATCAATATCGAACACCATTTTGGCTGGAGCACAAGTATTGGTACGTTACCTGTGATTATACAATAAGTGCATCATCATCTCAAGTAATACTCTATACAAAACCAGTCAATATCGATAGTGGCCAAATCTTAATCAGATGTCAAGCATTGTCAACTGATGATATTTGCTATTTCACTAAGTACCAATCAAATGAAAAAGATCAAGTTAACGAAAAAGAAGTACGTATGAAATGTAATTTGTATCTTATCTATTTTGACTTATTGAAATAGGTTTTCATCGAACTCAATCTTGAAAAGAGCAATAAGGGCTCTTACGACATACCCTATCTGGCATGTGCATTAAAACACAACACAGTAATCTTCATTTTAGTTTTATTTATGTCTTATTCGTCTTTCGTTTTTTATACAGACGATTGTTACACTAGATCTAAATCGAAATGATATCAGAAGCGAAGGTTTTCTACATTTGGCTGATCTAATACGAAATAACATAGTAATTCTTGTTGTTCTTTATCTTCCCTGTGTCTACTTTCAATTTTATATACGTAGCCACTGACCACACTGAATCTGGAAAAAAATCGAATCGGACACCAAGGAATGCAATATCTGGCTGATGCACTATGCACAAATACAGTAATAGCTTGTCTTTCCTCATCTGATTCATGCATAATTCATTTTTTCTTACAGGCTCTCACTGCATTAAGTATCGGTGGAAATTCTATTGGTCCGGAAGGGGTGCAACATCTAGCTGACGCCTTACAAAATAACAAAGTGATCTCTTTCTTCCAGAATTTTTCTTCTTTTCAATCTTGACTTTTGCTTTCTAGACACTCACTAAGCTTCATATTGGTGGAAATCATATCGGACTTCAAGGAATACAACGTCTAACAAATGCATTAGAAAAAAATACAGTGTGTTTTGTTCTCTATTAGTGTTATCTATACATTTGTATTTGGGTCTTCATAGACACTGGCAATTCTCGATCTTCAAGATAATCAAATTGGAGATGAAGGGATAGAATATTTTTGTAATTCGTTAAAAAACACTCTAGTAACGTTTTTTTCTACTCATCTTTTTGATGTCTCATCGTTATAATTTTGATGTGTAGACATTGACTTCACTCGATCTTAGCAGTAATCAAATCGAAGCACCGGGTGTACGATATATGGCTGATCTACTTGAAAACAATTCGGTAACTCTTATTCATTCTCTTTGTATCAATAATATATATTTCCAACTGTTCATATAGATACTGGCTACACTCAGTTTGAGGGATAACGAACTGAGAAGTAAAGGTACTGAATATTTGGCATATGCATTAAAAACGAACATGGTTAGTTTTCTTCTTCTTCTTCTTCTTCTTCGTTTCTTGTTAATATCTATGTTCACTTAGACACTTACTACACTCAATTTACGATTCAATTATATTGATGATGATGGAGTAGAAATTTTAGCAGATACTTTAAGAATTAACACAGTATTTCGTTTTTATTTTCTTTCTAATTTCTCGTCTATGGAATGCATCGGCTTAGACACTAACTACTCTCAATCTTTCAAACAATCAAATCACATGTACCGGATCACGATATCTGGCTGATGCATTACAAAAGAACATAGTAACTATTTTCTCTTGATAGTTCTTTTTTAAATTTTTTTCTCAATTAGGCGTTAACTATACTCGATCTCGCATGCAATCAAATTGGAATGATGGGAGCAAAACATCTAACTAATATGTTACAAACAAACTCGGTACCAATAACCAACTTTTGACATATCTCATATTCATCTTAATTTTCTACTCAGACACTTCTGACACTCAATCTATGGGGCAATCGAATTAAAGACAAAGGAGCTGGATATTTGGCTTCCGTATTAGAAACTAACAAGGTCATTCACATTCTAATTTCACTTGATATAGCTTGTATTTATGTTCATTCCTCTTTTTACAGGCACTTACTGCATTGGATATTGGATCGAATCATATCGGAGACAATGGTGCAGAATATTTGGCTCATGCATTAAAAACTAATAGGGTTAGTTGGTTGTCTCATCATGACTTTATTTTTATGCATCTTTCTATAGACACTCAGTACACTGAACCTTCAACATAATTCTATAACTACCAGTTTGATTCAACGTATCAATGAATTGATCAAGAAAAATCTTAGTGATGACTCATGAAGAAGGACCATTTTTTGTGTAAAATGAAAATGTAAACCGTATGAAAATGAATAATAAAATGAGACATATACGCATATTTCTACAAGCAAGGGTATCTTCATCAGTGACTTCTGATTTTCGATTTTAACTTATCAGGCTGCATTGCTGATTTCTTTCAGCAGGTAAAAAATAGAACATGTAAACTTTTCCTACTTGTACCGCTTAATGATGCTCGTCTTCTCTTATTATTTTAATGCAAATCATTTTCAAAAAGAATACTACTCAAGTGTTGTTAAATGAACTTTTGCCATTTATTATTTTTCTCTATTATTAGAGATTCAGGGTACAGAATAGATACTCAGTCCGGCGAGGCAGCAATTAGCGAGAAATAATGAAAACTCTATCAATTTAAACCTGGAACACAAAGATAAGCAATATCGCCTGTCAACGTGTTCCTTATGGATGATGTTCAGTTTAACGTTACATTTTGTTTTGGCTTTCTATAGAAGATTATTTGACGATAAGGTATATTTTCTATTCTTACTATGTATTAGTACTTGTGAAAAATGAAAATGAAAATCAAGAACATACAAATACAAGTCTATCATCATCACTTCAATAAACTCGATTTGATCAGTGTTCAATAGAACAACAATGTATCCGCTATTGAAGCTGAGGGTGTGGGTGTGGGTGAGAGTGTACTGTTTGGGAAGACAAAACCCACCCATACACCCTTTTTTCAAACTATAGTAGATAAAACAAATGACATCTTCAAAGAATTATGATTCAATCAATCGATTGAACAATTTAAATTTATTTATTATTAATATTACAAACACAAAGATCACCGTCAGAAGAAATAATGTGGTGTTCAGTAGAAATATGATCTCCAACAAAAATAAAATCATGACTTGTATTAATATGAAGACCACCAAAAATATTAACTTTATGAACAACATGATGACCACCAAAAATAGGATCATCAAAAGTGGAACCAGCACCATGACTAACACTAGTGCATGTTGCACCATCACTACGCTCATAAAGGTTCCATAAATGATTACGACGCCAGCGCTTCCAATCATCGTTATTCCAACTTTGATAGTTACGTATCCAATCCCAAGTTTGTGCATCGCCGGTAAAACGCCAATCAAGACATTTACCGCATGTTAGACAAGTATGACCATTACAAGAAAGTTTCTTTGAAGTAATCCCTGTAGGAGATTGTTGAACTTCTAAATAAAAATTCACAGATTTACAGAAATTGTGGAGTTATTATAGTCTAAAAGTACTCAAATATTTTTTGTATATAGCAATAGTTTAAAACAATATTCTATCTTTTAATCATATTTAATTATTCTTCAATTAATATTATGACAATAAAGTTTCAATATGGCGTCTTTTAATTATACTAATTATGTGGCAATTATTTTAGCTCAAATTGTTTTCGACATGTATTTGCATCTTGATCTTTCTTCTCGACTTTACTGATACTTAGCTGTCTAGAACCCAGGTCAATGATTCCGGAGGACGGATACTGTAGGAACTGGCCGGAAAGATGCGGAAAAATCACCGTATTTGGCCGGAAAGCACGGGAAAGCACTGGAAACTGGAAGCAGTATTCCAGTTGGAAGTTACCGGTTTTTTTTCCTGTGGATTCCGGTCAGTTTCCTGTGTTTTCCGGTCAGTTTTCTGTGTTTTACATCTGGAAGTTGATCGGAATCTACAGGAAGAAAATCTGGTAACTTCCAACTGNAGAAAATCTGGTAACTTCCAACTGGAATACTGCTTCCACTTTCCAGCGCTTTCCTGTGCTTTCCGGCCGTTTCCCGCCGTACGTCCACGACCTGGGAAACGTACCCAGGAGGTTCAATCCGATCAGTGGATCCGATCGTTTCCGGCATCGGATTCTATGGATTCCGCTGCTTTTTGGTCGGCTCCGTTGAACTCCGACGATTTCCTAACTAACGGGTTCCAGTCCGGTTTCCGCCGGAAAAATTCCGTTAAGTTCCGCAAAATTTCGACCCGGAATTCGTCGGAACCGATGGGAATTGATCGGAAATGGTCCGACGAAATCTGGATCGGAATCCGTTAGTTAGGAAATCGTCGGAATTCAACGGAACCAATCGGTTCCGACCAATTCCGACGTACCCTGATTCTCCTGGGTAGTTATGTCATTGTGCGTAAATAATCATTGCGAATACTCTGAACTTCTGATGAATCTATGTGTTCATTTCTACCATGTTTTTGTCACTATATTTGAGTTGCGCTATGTAATAATGATCATGCTTGCGAGTGGCAAGTGTAATCCTGAGTTTTTTAATTTTCGGACCATATTTCTCTGTAGTTGGATTCACTAACTGGATCGTTTTGTATCTTTCTATTTTAGGACAAAATAAGTAACTGAAAGTATGCTCTTATGCATTCTCGTCTTATGAGCAGAGTTACATCACAAAGAAACATTTCTTCCTCTGATGGGTGATTTTCAACACGTTTTTTATGCTCGTTTTGCATTTAAAGTATTTTTGATTGTAAAACTTTGATTGACTAACTGCATGAAGAAAGATAGTACTTGCTGAACTCTTAGTTGTCTTCTCGATATACATATAAACAACGAATCGATGAGAATAGAGTTTGAAGTTTGTTCTATCTATTTAGAGCAAAACTAAAATTAACGCAATATATTCATCGTATATTACTTTTCTATTCAACTGCATTAGAATAAAACAGATTCAGGGATAAAAATACGATAAGCAACTGAACATAGAATGTTTTGTATGCCCTTACCTTTTGCTTCAGTTGTTGCCATGTCGAATACTCAATTAGTTTGACGGCGAATATATTATTATATGTATCGCATTCATGTATTTTGAATAAAAATTACTCAAGGTAAATAATCAAAATGTAAAAGGAAAAAACCAGGACTATAAAGATAAAAAATATGCTGAATGCAAGGAAAAAATATACTAACGCCATAAGATGCATTATCTTGAGAATGTGATTGTGAAAGAAAAAAATACCCTCATCCGTTCTCAAGTTTAATAAGCAATATATTCGTTATTTTCTTTTCTTTACCTTCGTTTGGTTGATAAATAAACATTCAATTATTCATTAACTTGGGATTTGTTTTCTTTTCTCAAAGCTGTCTCTTCTGACACAATGAAAACTCCTTAAACTAATCATGCAAGAGGAAAAAAGCTGATGACTGAAGTAAATATTAACCACCATATTTGCATATAACGCTGTTTATTTCTCAATTTTTTATTATACATTTTCTGATTGTATAAGATGGCGAAAATACTTTTGTACATGATGCAGTAGCCGACATGTTTCAAAGTGTTTAATCCCAGGGCAAATGCATCGAATGAATGAACCGTTGTTAATATAGGTTTGGGGCCCCTCTTCATTCACACTCACACCCACATGCGATCATTTGGATATTTGTTTTTTGTGTACTCAAAAAGTGAGTATTGTTCAAAATATAGAAATAAAAAAAAAGCGTTTCCCGAAGATCGATCACCGTGTGAAAATAACTTTGACCGTTTAGAGATTTTACGTCTTGTGTATTTTGTACTAGTATAATGAAGTTAAAAGACTTGTGCGTTCCACATTTCAGCTCCAAAGAGGCTGCGCTAACAAGCTTTTTTCTCTCTATTTTCCGTTTTTGATCCACGTTGTGATGTATTTATCTATAATAAAAAATAAAAACAAGTTTAGTTTTTTTATATAAATAAAATTCTTTATAGTTAATCTTCATCGTCACATTCTTCGATTTCAATTTTATTTTTATCTGCTGAATCATCATTTTTCAATGCTTGTTCATTTTTTTTTCTTTCGTGATACTGAGGTCGAATTATTATTGTTTAATATTGATTCGATGATTCATTCCGCTTAGCTCCTGTACTAGTAAGAATTAGTTAAGATCTCGTAGCAGTTGACTTCTCCATCTTGACTAATAATTATTCTTCACTCTTATTAGACTGGAAAC